CGTTTTATGAGTAATTGATGTCGCTATTGTCAGTGTTTAGTTAACTCAAATAATAAATCATGATGCAACTGAAATATATATTCGGCTTTTGAAAGATTGAAAAAGCTTTATTACAGTAGTAGTAGAATAAAAATCGTATTTCTTCTATCAAAATGTAAATGTATAATAATGGTGCTTTATAATTCGTTCGACAATATTATAAATAGCAGATATGACACGAACTTCAATACTACAAGAAATCTATCGGTCTCTATCAATATGTTTTTAAAGAAAGTTATTGATTGATCATTTAGTTATCTCAGGCAAAAGATGGTGTTTAAATCGTCAAAAAACACCTTGTTCTATGGCTTTCTGTATGCAAACGAATGGTATCAGTTTCGAACGAGTTTACAGTCATTTATCATTTTCGGAATCATCGTGATCTAGTGAGCCATATAATTTCTTACTAATTCATAAGTAGCTAATTTAGTATCGAATTCTTCTTTAGAAGCAACAAATAATTGTATCAATACTGGATTATTGATTTCAATTACTAATTATAATTAATTTACTCAGTATTAATCAAGTCGTATCGATATTTTCATGCTGTAACTATTAAAAAACAACAGACAATTTTATTTTACAAGTATTCAATCACCATCTCGAGGGTGTGGGTATCTTTTATTCACACCTACACTCTTATTCTAAACTGAAAAGATCAAATAATAAGATTAACAGAGATCAGTTTATTTTCTTTAATTGGTTAGAACTATCTTACACACATATATATACCAAATAATTTATCTCTAAAGAGAGAGAAAACTGAGTGGTTTTCACTAACGCTGACATTGGTGTTATCAATACCTATGGTTGTTAATTCATTAATATTCAAATAATTATTACCAATCAATTGTCGAGCATTAACAAAAACTTTATCCGCTGTTTCGTCTGCATCTGTTATCAATTCAAAAAGGCCTAAAATACTACAACAATAAATTAAATTCAGAAGAACGATACCTTTTCTGACCCCATTTGTAAATAAGAATCGAACACAAAATGGTTACATTTTAATATTTCCTTTTGTTACTGACATCATGCATCAACGAATAATGAAATGCGATTTTCAAATTATCAATCAAATTGTATGTAAAGCATGGTGCAAAAACATTCAGGGTAATAAATGAATTGCTGTTGTAGAGAATGAGAATATTCTTTTACAAACCATTACTATGCATTGTTGAATGAATGACCATGCTTCACATCATGATAAACCAGAACAGTTTCAGCAGCACAAATTTCATCTTTTTCCTTTTATGGTTTCATTGTTTTTGTAATTAATTGTTGATTAATATCAAATGATTTATAATTGTTCTGATGCTTTTGAGTTTTTCTATGATGATCAATATCAGCTTTTCCTCGATAATGTACTGAAAATTGCTGATTGTAAGCAATGTATATAGCATGAGTTGCATCAGGTTTGTATTTTTTTTTAAATAATTCATATTTAGTGATCTTTAATCATTCTCTATCAAATATTCCTTTTTTCAACTTCTTTTCTTTCGATTTATTACTGGATAATATTTGTAACTCGATTGTTACTGATGCTTCACTATTTTCATCTTGATCAATATGGCTGTCGTTAGCATCAATCACGTTTCCTGGTAAGTACAAATGTTACAGCTTATTATATTCTTAATCAACAACGAACAATACACAGAAGATTGTGTACAATGAATTGAAATATTTGGATGATTGGCAGAAAATACTTCAGAAAGCAAGATATCGGTAAAGAACGACCTCAGCAAGTGGCGTATACATTGGTTGTTTTTATTAACTATTAGAAATCCGAAATCACCATTTTATGAATTTCCATTATACAACAAAGACGACAAAAAAGCAGCATTATGCATCAGTAAGAATTCATCGGATATGTATGCAATAATGATTTATTAGAACTGAAATTGAGTTAAAAATGAAAATCAGATAATATTTGAAAAAGCAGAAAAAAATTGGAAAAGCAGAAACGACAGAAAAAAAGCAGAAGAGGTGGCGACCTTGGTCGCGAAGTTTTGTTGAAATTCTTAATGTAGAGTGAAGATAAATGTTAGTCTGTATTGCGTAATGTTTTATAAGAGTAATATACTTAGTAGAGTAGTAAAATATTAATGAATAAATAAAGTTTAGTCATCGATAAGTCTTAGCAATGCATGAGAACACTGACAGTGTTCGAGTTAGTGTTTGCAACAACAATATCGGGTTTATTGTCGCTATTCACATCACCGACTGCTACTGATCGTGGAGAAGTACCAACGGGGTAAGTAATTTGAGCATTAAAAGTGCCGTTGCCTGTGTTGAGAAGAACGCCGACGTTGTTCGGGGTAGTGTTTGCAACAACAATGTCGGGTTTATTGTCACTATTCACATCGATGACTGCTACTGAATATGGACTAGCACCAACTGGGTAAATAGTTTGATTATAAAAGGTGCCGCTGTCTGTGTTGAGAAGAACACTGGTGGTGTTCGAACCAAAGTTTGCAACAACAATGTCGGGTTTATTGTCACTATTCACATCGACGACTGCTACTGAAAATGGATTAGTACCAACTGGGTAAGTAGTTTGATTGTAAAAGGTGCCGCTGCCTGTGTTGAGAAGAACGCCGACGTTGTTCGAGTTACTGTTTGCAACAACAATATCGGGTTTATTGTCACTATTCATATCGACGATTGCTACTGATCGTGGATAAGTACCAACTGCGTAAGTAGTTTGATTGTAAAAGGTGCCGTTGCCTGCATTGAGAAGAACACCGATGGTGTTCGAACCCGCGTTTGCAACAACAATGTCGGGTTTATTATCGTTATTCACATCGCCGACTGCTACATAAAATGGACTACTGCCAACTGCATAAGTAGTTTGATTATAAAAGGTGCCATTGCCTGCGTAGAGAAGAACGCCGACGGTGGCCGTACCAGAGTTTGCAACAACAATATCGAATTGATTGTCGCTATTCACATCGACGACTGCTACTGATAGCGGATTAGTACCAACTGCGTAAATAGTTTGAGCATTAAAGGTGCCATTGCCTGCGTTGCGAAGAACGCCGACGTTATTCGAATCTCTGTTTGCAACAATAATATCGAGTTTATTGTCGCTATTCACATCGACGACTGCTACTGAATATGGTCCACTACCAACTGGGTAAGTAGTTTGATTAAGAAACGTACTGCAGCCTATTAAATACAAAAAAGTTGCTCTCACACCTGCACTAGTATATGGACAGTATTTATTCATCGTATTTTATTCAATCTTTGAGAGTTTAACTTAATTGAGCATAATTTATTCGAAAACATCATGACATTGAATTTTGGACAATTTCAGATATTCTGGAATATAACTAAAATCAGTTTTCAGCCATGCTGACCATTTCTCCGTGAAACGTTCACGTAAATTTGAAAAATCAAGGAGGTCATCTCCCTCTACTTAAAACTTGTGCTCCCGTTAATAAAATTTCGTGGTATCCTCGACTAAGAGGACACAGAATACTTTCCAAGCAGAATTCAGAATGCCGTACATTTGTCCAGAATTTCATTTCAGCATATAGATCATTCCTTTTTCTAAGTTGCATTATAATATGGAATTCTATAAACAATATGATAATTTGTGCTACATAAACCAACAATATTTCTACAAAATTCGAAATTCTACTTTTGCAGTAGCTTACAATTACCTATGTACTCGCATCCTATTCTCGTTCTTGTCAAGAACAGCTCAACAAAAATAAGTTATCTGTTTCGGCTACTGTGGTTTTGTTTTTCAATGTTTGGCAAAGGTATGCACGGAGTTAAAACCGGAATTACATCAGAGTCCATTCGATGTTGTACCATTTAACCAAACTAAGCATTACACGTTTTATTTATTGTAAATTGTGTTCTCCAATACTAACTCTACAAATGGATGTGCTTCTCAGATTCAATTACTATTCTCTCGAGACTTCATACATACAAAAATAAGTCTCCGCCAATGTTGACTGTGGAAGAACACAAGTCACAATCAATAAAACTTCTAGTGCTTAGTCTGGTTTATTAGCACAACATCTAATAGACTCCGCACAATCCCCTGCAGATTGATCGAAAATCATTTTGAGAGAAAAAATGAGGGACGCAGGTGAACGCGACTATATGCTGCCCGGCGAGGAGTAACCAAGAGAAAAGCAACAATAATGAGGCTTAGTTCACGCTGCCAAAATCGTCGTTATACTACTATACTAGTGCTATTTTACTATTGACAGCTTTTTCTAAAAAAAGTAATCGTCAATGCTATATCCGAATCAACGTCAATTTTTCTGAATGTCGGTTCTCGCAGCGGAGGTCTGTACTAACAACATAATGACTAGAATATGTTAGGTCAAGAAATAAAGCTTCTACAATTGACAGCTGAGCGAATCTTTAGACAAGTGTCATTTGTTCACCGAAATGAGAAATCTTTAAAAGATAAACTCTCAAACTTTCAAATTTGGTTAGTGGAACAAATCATCGATTTGAAAACTGCAAAAAAGTACAACACATTATCTAGCATATTACTGACCGGCTGTTGTTGTTGCCGCTGATGTTGTTGACGACGTGGACGATGTGGATGCTGATGATGAAGTAGTTG